GTGGCCTTGATCTCAGTACAAGGAAAATCAATTAACTGTGACAGTAGCCAACTACTCCCTAATCTAGCTGACTAGAAAGAAATAAGCACTTGTTCAGTACAAAACAAGAAGAAAATTAATCAAGTCTAGAGAGTATGTGAGGTAGAGAAATTCTATTATTAAAACTTAGCAAGGAGATCTGCCAAAGTAAAAACAATCTCAGTAAACTGGACTCAAGTAAGTAATCTGTATTTCAAAATTTTAAGTGAAAGCTTCTAGAAACAGTAATGAAAATCATAGCTTTAAGAAAGAGATCTACCTAGGAGCCCTTTTTTTAAAAGAATCATTTAGTTTAATTTGCTTAACAGGTCAGTTTAATTGAGAAATTAACCCCCAAATAAAAAAAAAAACACCTCAATAAAAGCCAAATAAGTACTAAATTTGAGATTGTAGGTAACATAAATGCAAGTAATCATTTTTTTAATGAGAATTGCAAGGTAGGCTAACTACAACTACTGCAATGATATGAAAGAGTAAAATAGTGGGTAGAGTAGAAATTGTAATTGTGAATAGAGGATGAGTTTTTCAAAAGTTTTTCAAAAGTATATATTGAGTAGTATAAAAAATTATGAAAGTTCATGCAAGAATTTTATGACCCCTAAGTGACAAATACAACTGCTGTTTTTATGAAAGCTTCCTGTCTATACATACGTTTTTAATGCTTAAATGTATTTGCCCAATTGATAAACTGGTAGCTTCTCAGCTGTATTGTGAACTTCATTCACACTGATTCTTTTCAGCAATAGTGAAGATTGGAAGTAGAGGACAGTCTTTTGTCATATACTATGCTTAGAAGTGTTTTGGAAGCAAACAGGATTTCATCAAGGAGTAGAGAGATTACTTAAAGTGTTCATTTGGCATGAATACAGACTTCTGATGTCTGAAAATCAAATAAAAGAAAAATTGGACAGATTTCAAAGGAATTGTCACCTTTCATTTGTCTTGTATTAAAGGTCAAATTATATAATCAAAAGGTTTACCTCTGAGCTCAGTATTACGCCTCCATGAATGGGTATTCTTATAACTACTCCCTAAGTCGAATCATTTCTTTGATAGTCAGCATGTGTTCTATCCTCAAAAGCATGCTTTTTTTTTTGTTTGTTAAAAATATTCATAGAGCAGTTTTCTACCTCACATCCTCATAGATATTACTTGAAAAAATATTTATATTAATTATGCCATATTTTCTATATGATATTTAAATTGTAGATTTACAGATTAGTTTTTATTTTTTAAGTACACTTTTATGAAATCTCACTTTATGAAAATACACCACTTTTATGAAATCTCACTTTATCTATATGAAAGCATATAGATTAACTGATATTTTTATACTTCATTGCCTTGTTCTAGACTAGATGTGATTGTTTAGTTTGTTTAACAACCCGATTTGGATAAGAAATTCTGATTCCATAGATTATATTTTTCATATTTCAACTCCAAAGAGGTAATATAAAAACGTTAGCAGTAAACTCAATCTTCCAAATTAATTTTTATGGATAGTCATTAAATTGCTTATTGCTCATTAATAAGATCAATATGGACTTAAGAATCTCTTTAAATGTCAGAGTAGTAATTTTTATATTACTATCAGTATTGGAAAAGCAAAAAAGTAGAAGTCCTGATCATGAAAGGAGAAAAATTATCTTGAAAATCTGCCAGTGCTAGGACAGGGAATTTTAATCATTAACTTCTGTTCACTAGGGATACTGGTGTTAAAAAGCTGCCACATCTAATTAGTATTTATGTCAAATGTAAGGAATACACAATAGGCTTTCGCAGTTGGCAGTCACAATTCAAGTGGGAGAGGTAAAGCAATCCAGTAGTTACAATCAATCAAAACAATGTAATGTATTACTCAGATATCTCACAAGTCATTTAACTCAGGATATTCTACTAGAAGATGTTAAGGCCAGAGACAAGAAAACAGCAAAGTAGTCTTACTCCATGACACTCCATGACAACCACAGAATTTGAAATCATTAAAATTTGCACATTGCAGACTGTACTAACCTACTTTTCAGCTAAACTAAATCATACTGCCTCATGTACAAAAATAATATCAAAGATGTTATTAGGTCTTACTATAAAGGAAAACGAAACAACCTGTTCTCATGATGGATCTTAAACAAATTTAAATTTAAATACATTAAAGCAGTAGAGCAGTTTGCTTTGCATTTCAGTTACATCTTCAGGAATTTAATCAATTTTAAAGTCTGCATTTGTAGATGAAGATGGAGGTGAGATAAAACTGATTCAGAAAGAAGAGGCTGTAGACCTTGGATGTCAAACAAGTATATAAGCACTTATGAGGACACAAGCATAGCAAAAAGCCATGTCAAGTATTAAAGCTGTAATATAAGGAATTGTATATTCACTTAGATTCAAAGAAGAATCGAATGCCATATCTGACTAAACCAAAAACTATAAAATGTCAAATTCACAGTTTTTCTGCTAGACTAATAGATATAACTATTTACTGATGATACAATAGATTTATGAGAGATAAATAATTGTTCAGGGTTACAACAATGGCAGATACCAAGTACTATCTGAGCTACCAAATATCACAAAATCTAAAGATTGTCTGATCATCATATCATCATGCAACATTAGTTATGGGAAAATGAAGAGCAAAGCCGATATCAGATATCTTTCCTCAAAATACACTATAAAAATGAAAAATATAAAGCTTACAAATCTTCAATTCTTTGCCTTTGAGACATTTTTATAAAGTTAGGAAAAAAAGATTATTCTGTACATCTGTGTGAAAATACATCATATTTTACACCTGTGTGAAAATACATCATAGACTCCTGCTTTAGATATTTTAATATTAGCCAAAGGTTATCTATTAGGAATATTTATATCCTTGACTACAGAAAGCAGTTGCTCTCTATCATATGTCTTAGAGACCTATATTCATGAATGTGATCAGTACAAATATAGAGCTCTTTAAAAGAGCTACTAATTACATCTGTGTATTTTACTTTTTCTTTTAATAAATAATTAAAATAATTAAAATCAAACATCTAAATTTCAAATAAATTCAAATAAAATCAGATAAGTATAAATATCACTATAGAAAATTTGATACATACAGTTAAATGTATTAAAACTTCACTAATAGATAGATGTCAAAACACAGGTATTAACAGAATGCCCTGTGCTTATGAGAGTTATTTCTTATGGGTTCTTGCAGGGATTGATTCTTGTCCCTGTAGTGTCACTACTAGTCTGGAAGAAAGTATAAAATGATTACTAATGAAATGTGCAGATGACTCAGGGCTGGATGAGTAAAAAATGAACAGGTCACCGATAGATATCTATAGCTAGGTAAAAGAAAGGCAGGAGTAATACTCATACATCTAAATGTAAGGAATATGAGAATGGACTACAGTTAATAATTGGATATGAGTATATTCTGGAAAGCAGGAGACCTGATAAGCAATTAGGAAAAAAGTGAAACACGGTTATGAACTCTCATTGGAATGTTTCAAGAAAACGTTTCTGCCCAGGCAGAATATCTGAGTACTGTATAACAGATATTAAGGTTTCAAATGGAATTAGTAAGACATTTAGCACCAGTTCTGACATTCACAAAATTTGAACACCTGAGCAAAGCACTGGAAAGAAATGAAAGACAGACTCAAACTCCAGAAAACAGGACTTTACTGCAAAAAAAAAAATAAATAAATAAATAAATAAATAAATAAAATAAAAGGCAGATTTACATTTTACAATAAATACATAAATAAATATTATTGAGAGGTGATACATCTCCATTTTATAATTTTCTGTCAAAGGAGAATTTGTGTAAAAATAATAATAGTAATAACAATAATAATAATAATAAGGAAAAGGAGGAAAAGGAAAATTAAAAATAAATTTTGGTGGAAAGTTGGACTTGTTTTAATGACATATCTTTTACTTTTTTTAATGAGTGGAATAAATGAAACAAAAGTTGTCAAGAGATTTTCTATAGCTTGTAAATTTTCATATAAAAATAGACTTCATGTTATAGTCCAATTTATTGGATGAAAGTTTATGTCTTACAATACATCTAGTACCAGCACACTTCCAATAGCAGCTTAGACACACACTGGCATTTATCTCTCTGTGCTCTGATCCTATGAACAGTCATTCTACTTTGAAATATTAAGATAAGTATTAGTAGATAAAAATTTATTAAAACTACTGGAAAGTGAATTATTTTTGGATATCTAAAAATCATATGTATTTTGACAACAGATGCACTTCTGGAAAGCTTTTAATTTGTGCTGAAATTAAAATTACTATTTCAAAATTATGGTGAAGAAATTACACTTAATGAGTGAGAAACACTCTCGTTTCTATAAAAGTAAGAATATGCAATTAGAAAAAAAAATCAGTAATACCTCACCCACCATTGTGAATTTGTCAACAATGGAAAAATAAATTGCTTTAAATGTTTCTTTTGATCTAGATCAAATGATTACTAAATTGCATTTCTATTTGATTAAAAATGTCAAGGTAATAATCAAGTAATAACTTTGTTGCAAATAAATGTAAAAAGTATCCTACTATCCATGAAGGTAATAGCATAGTGCTAGACTAGCAAATGAAAGCAATATATTTTGACAACTAAAATCTTCTTAATAATTGGACCACTTCATTTGAATCAAACACTTTTTGTCCTCTCTCTCAGTTCAACTGAACTCAACTACTTCACCAAGGATCCAAAGATTTTAGTCAATAATAAGCAAACTGAAATTACTAATCAACTGAGATAACTCTAAAATTAGAATAATTTATTTGCCATTTGGAAGAGAATAAATATCCATGACTAAGTCAACAGCACTAGTTCTTTCATGACACAGTAATTGCTAAGTAATTGAAACATATATTACAAACTGTTTGTTACTGTTGTTATTTGTGTACCCTGTTTTATTAACTTCCTTGTACAACTGTGTTTCTGGAAATTAAAATAAATTGCTTACCAAGATGGTGGTAACAATTAATGAGCGATTGGACAGGGAATCTGTGATGTTTGCTGGTTTTCCTTTCTGATTCTCTGTCATGTTAAGGCCACTGGCTGGATCCCAAGTTCCAATCTATAAAACAGTATATTGCTATGTTAGTTATTCATTAGTTATATTTTAAGATCTAAGAGAGAATACTAGAAAGAAAAAGTTAAGATTGCTAGCACTTACAATTCACGCCTGGTCCATTATATTTAAAGTCTGCTTCTTCAAAATATGATTCACTATATTTCAAAGTGTGAAGTGTGACATTCATAGAAAAGGATGCAATGAATATCTAAAGTCACTATGAATACTTAGGGTTTTTTCTTCCATTTAAATTTTCACTCATTTATATAAACCACCTTTGATGATAATATAATAGTTGGATGGAAATTCATTTGTAGAGCACAAAGCATCTTCTCTACAGAAGGATTTATTCTTTCATTCATCAGAAAGAGCAGAAGGGCAAAAAGATATTTTGGAGAAAATAAGGGTGAAATTAGATTAATTGTAATAACTTAATTGATTTCCTAATAAATAGTCATTACATACATCTTTTGACATTTTGTACCTTTTATTTCTTATTCCAGTAAAGTCAATAGGATTTTTATGTAAGTAAGAAAGTCCTGGGTTACGCTTCAAGGTTGAGGCCAAGGACAGTGTAACATACACTGTAATGGGTCTTATTATTACATCATTCAACTTTAATTTCATTATTACGAAACTAAAATTGGCAGGCAATAAGCACAACAATCTATCTTAGACATCAGAATTTTGTGGCGAAAGAAGAAAAAACTCATGATCTTTGTTTTTGCATTTAGAAACAAATGTAGATTAAAAATAATTTCAAATTGCAACCAACATCCTTGCTATAAGGTGAAGATTATTCAAGTCTGAATCAGCACAGTAATTGCATAATTACGAGAGACAGCGTGTTTAATTAATGACTTTTTTTTACTAGGCTATGCATTTATATTTATATAAGAGCACACAGGTTTTTTATTAACATCTAAACCTTTCAGAGCGATTTCAGAGGAACAGTTTCTGTGCTTTTAAGAAGTGACTTGTCACTACATAATTTCCAAGTCATCTCAGGATGCAACTCAGTATGAGTTGAAATTAAAGAGTAATATCTCTAAAACTGAGGAAAGCGGAAAGCACGTGATGGGAGTTGAGGTGGCAGGGGAAGAAATGGCAGAAGAGGTAGAGGAGAAGAGATAAAGACAGAGAAAGATAGGATTTACAGAGAGAGAGGGAACGAATGTTTATAAAAAAAAAAAAGAGAAAGGCAATGGAAAGAGATTCAGCACAATTTGAAGATCATCTGATTTTGAAAAAAAAAAAAAAAAAAAAAAAGTGCTGTTTTAAATGAAAGGACTGGCTAAAAAGTATTCTTGGTAACTCAGAAATGTCCTGTTGTAGGGTTGGAGGATTACTCCTGGATTCAGGAAAAGTAGGCTTTACATTCTTTCAGAATAAACACTTTAAAAAAAATACATTTTTGCTTCACCATTGATATTTGTTTTTCAGGAAAATGATCTATAAGACCCAAACATTAACTAATCACTTCAGTCTATATAGAACTTAATATTGCTTTCCTTAATTTCACATCATTATACTCTAGCTCATATATCTCTTTGAATCTCTACAATGTTCACCGATATTCTTTGCTATCACTTTCCTAACTTGATTTTTTTCTGATACATATAACTTAATTCTTACTGCTCCTTCCAAGCTTGTTGCCACATCTAATTGAAAAATTAATATCACCACATCACTGTAAAGCCAAAATGAAACATAAAAGGAGTAGTAATAACTTCTTTTTCTGTGAGCTTCTATGTACGCAGGTCAAGCTCACAATCTCATGCTGATTGTGTGTTTTTTTTTTAATAATAACCTTTATAATTATTTATCCTGTTGCCTCTTATGCATCTTTCATTAATAATGTTTCCCAAGTTTCTTTTTTTTCTATTATGTATTTTATAGCACCACATTTTCAGTTCAGTTCTACTTCCTTCCTGTGTATTTTATCTCCTTAGACCCTGTTGATTTATTCTTATATTTTCTGCAGGGTTCATATCTTGTAATATATTGTCAGCTGAGAATTAAATTAATATGTTTTTGTGTTTCTACTTGCATATCAATATTGATAGCAAAATAATGTAGATGTAACACAGATCCAGATGGTAGACATCATTCCTTTAGACCAGTGAATATCCATTATACAGTATTTTATACCAGTGTTCTCTCAGACAATTTCCAGTCAATACAGAACAGTTAATCAAACCAACTCTCTTTTTTTTATAAGATTGCAAAGCAGTATCAAATAATTCAAATATATTACAATGATTTCATTTCTTTGATTAATTTATTTTGCATTCCTGTCAAAAATGAAAATAAGTCAAAATTTTTGTTTTCCAGAAAACGCATGCTGAGTGATGATGGTTCTCATATGTCATCCAGTTTCCTTACCCATCCTGGATTCCTTTCCCCACTTTATTCAGTTTTCCTCTTTTGTCTTTTATTTACATTCAGACTCTTTAGCCACTCCTGACTCATGTAGCTACTCCTATGTCATATATTCTTCCAATTTTGGTTCCAAGAAGGAAGACAGATTGTGTTGCATCTGTTCTAGTCATATACAAATCATACAGGGCTTTATAATCTCTCTTTTTTTTTTCTTTTTCTTTCATGGAATGCTCAAAGGAAAACTATTGACTATCAGTCTGCTGTTGAATATTTCTAAAAATATTTTAGACGTTCAATCACGGATTTGCTACCTTAATTTTTGGAAATATTACCCACTTTCATGTTCCAAACCAAATTCACAGCTAAAATTCACAGCTATTAATTAATTCACAGCTATTGAGAGAAATAATATTCTAAAGTGGGAACTGGTGAAGTAGATTTTGGAAAAATCTGTTGTTTTCATTAACTTCTCTATTTAATTATATCTAGGGGGAAAAAAAAAAAAAAAAAAAGCAATCCCTTCAGCATGGTGACTTCCCTAAGTTTCTCCTTCCATAGGTAGGGCAGGATGGTAGAATAATCTGGCCTCAAGTCATCATGGAGTCATATAGGTAGGTCGAAGTTATGTACGTGGTCCCAGAGACTTTATTTCACATAGTCAATACTGGACTACACAAAAAAGAACTCTTCTCACTTTTTTGAATCACAATGTATCTCTGTAGAAGAATATCTGACATCAGAAAGTAAATGAACCCAGTCGTCTCCTTACATTTTAGTGCCAGTTACTAATAAGAACTCTGTATTCCAAGAAGAAAACTACAGTCCTGTTTTAGAACACAGAAAATCACATAAAAACACCTATTTTGTTTCAATGTGTTCTGTATCATGTGACTTTCCCTGAGTTGCAAAGGAAAGAAAAAAAAAAAAAAAAAAAAAACACACACATACTCACAGGTTCACACATAATGATAGATTATTGGATTGGAATTGCCATTAAATTTAAACTTAACATAAAGCAACGACAAAGTATTTTAAAGCTTGTCTCCAGGATTTTTTTTTTTTGAACTATATTATATCTATGATCTACATCGCTAGTATGAAATCCTATTTGTACCATCTGCAATCGCTTCTAAACAGTTCTCCCAAAGTAACTTTAAGAAGCAAGCACCTATAAAAAGTTCAAGTTGTTCTCAGCATTCATCTAATTTGTGTCTTTCAAGTCTGTTTTCTGTTTCAAGACAAATTTTCTGAATCCAAATATTCCTAATTTTCTGGTTCCCAATATTCAAGTATGAGTGTCTAGGAACCTAGCATGGCACTTCCATTTCAGCTGAGGAAAACTTGATTCATGAAGTGGAATGACGCTGACAGGTACATGTAGATCATTTAACACTCTGAAATGTGGCTGATGTAGATGGTATTTATCCCTTTAGGATGGCTTTCCCTGAAGACGGTCACATACTTTGAAGAATTCTATACAAAAGGTTCATAGGCTAAGAACTTCCTTTGAAACCCCTTAGTAGTAATGTATATCCATATTTTCCAAAGGAAAACCAGAACCAATGAGCCACCTGACATGTAACTATAGATGCTGTGTCTCATATATTTCTGATAAGTAATGTTACTACTTATTTTTTTTTGAATTTGCTTCATAAAAATGATATTTGTAATAAGCTGTTGGACACACAAATTAAGAGCAAGTGGAAAACTCAGTTGTCTTTACTTTTAATGGTAAGCAGACCCTAGTTTGCAAGGTATTGCTAGGATAAACTTATCACACAAACACATAGATTGTCAGAACTAATATTTCAATTCAATCTCTTCTTTTRGAAAAAAAAAAAAACAAGAAAAAAATATATATTTTGTATCAAGATTATGCCTAAAACATGATCTTCATGAAAGCACAAATTTATTCTCAGTATACTATTTGATTTTTGCTGATTTGATTTTTTATCCAAGAAGAAGCATTTTGTATTTTATTTTATTTTGTGTGTTTTTAATGTTTCACATCACTCTTCAGATAGACATCCTACATACCTTTTCCAGACCTTCTTCTTTGAGGCTAATGACGTCTAAATCAAAATCTGTCCTTAAGCCATTAGTTTTGTTGAAAGTTATCCTGCCTGTTAGGCCTTCCCAATGGGCCTATGGAGAAGGAAAAAAAAAAATCCAGAAACAAATATCACTCTCTTTACTCTCCAACAAAAGAACAAAATTTAATTCTGCCAAAATGGGAATATTAATTATATATTATGTCTAAATATTTCTTTCTTCCTCCCCCTCATCTCTAATCCCATTCTCAGAAATTGCACTTTATTGGAATTTCATTTTTATGGTAAGACATTTCATGTAAATGTGGACTAACTTTTGGAAGTTGCTGAGTCCCCTGAAAAAATACTGAGCCATCAAACATTGAGGTCACTGAGCCAGGCTTCCAGAGCTGATTCCATAAAAAAATATCCCCTTAACACATATCTATATGTATCATATGTACTACATATGTACATATGTAGTAAAGACACATATAAATTTTACCTATCTGTTCAAAGAACTACCCTCCTATTAATTATCTGCAGTACAACAGACTTGAGTATTATATGGTTCTGATCCGCTGTACCTTGAATCACTTAACCAATAAACTAGCTTTACTTTTTAGACTAAATTATAAGCTAAAAATATAAGACCAGGATATCTATGAAAGACAGTATCTAAACAATACACAAAGAGATTAATGTGATATATATTCTACTATAGAAAACAAATTAAAATTAAAGAACAAGCCACCTCCTGAAAAAATAGCTGAATTAGAGCAGAGTGGGAAGAAAAAAAAAAAAAAAAAGTAGTGGGGAAAAGGGAAAGTGAGAAGATAGAATATATTGTCTTTGGGACATACCTCCTTAATAAGACTCATAAAGCGGGTCCCAAAGCGCCAGGGCTTGTGCCGATTACACTGTAGTGAGCTGACAGTCATCTGTGGGAACTGCTGGACAGCCACTGACACCACATGAACTGCATCATACATTAGAGCTGCATCCGTCTGAAACCAGAACGACATCAGTGCCATGAACAGAAATGAAAGCATATGACAGACCAGCACTGAGAGGAAGGAAAAAAAATGTAGCACTGATCATCACATTGTAGGGAGGAAAGGATATGACTGCTTGTGCAGAACTGTCAAAAACAACCTTATCATCAAGCTCTACAACAGAAATGTCAGGACAATCACCCTCAGCTTTTCTCTTTTTTCTCTTTTTAATCCTGAAATTAGATCCCAATTACCAGCTTTTCAAGATCTACACTACACTAGTATCTCTGATGACTTGTTTATTCAAAAAAAAAAAAAAAAAGGCAAGTTAGGGGGTTTATAAATCTCTTTATGCACATTTGAGTCAAATTGGTTATTCCCATGAGTGAGGAGGAAACAAAAATAGATCAGTAAGGTAGCCAGACCTTGTCTAGGAAAAAGAATACACAGGATAAAAGACTGATGTTTTTCTCTTTTAGAATTAGAGGCTAGATACATTCCCAAAGGTGCTTAAGTTATTCATTAATCACTGTTTAGGATATTGTTTTAAATCCCCAGGACTGATCTAATCAATATCTTCTACAAACTGGAGGCAAATTAGAGTTGACTACACTCATTTTAATTGTTTTCATGCCTCACCCCAAATAAATGCACCATTTATACCAGGTACATGGTTGTATTAGCAAAGTCCTTTGCTAATATAACATTAGAGAATGTTATATTAGCAGCCTGCTAATGCTTGTTATATATGTTATATAGAAGCCTGCTTCTCTGTACATACTGTCACGCTGCACAAAAAAAAAAAAAAAATCATGCATCTTTCCTTTTCTATTTGACAAACAGGGGCAAGCCTTGGAACTAAAAGCAAGAGAGGACCTTGGACTCATCTGGTAGAAATTAACTCTATGCCATCTGCTCAGCATACCTTAGAGAAAAAGGACCTATTTCTCCTTCTCATTCACATAATTAGTGAGCTGTGAAATTAGTTCTTTAATGGATAGGAAACCTGGAGATTATTGCACTTGTCACTATACAATACAACACAATACAAAATGAGCTTATATAGTGCCTTTTATGCAAATGTATCCCAAGGCACTTTACAATAAAACTAAACATAAAAATGCAAAAGTGCTTTATCATTATAGGCCATAAGCTACTGTTAAAGGTAAAATATATGTTTACATTTAATTGGATCACCCAAGGAGAGATTTCAAAATTCAAGTGGAAATATATCCTAGTTTTAAAATAGCCACTACAATGGATTTTGATGGTCTCACATGCCAGGCAACTTATCCAGAGATTCCAAATCAGCCAGAAAATCTTCTCCTGCCAAATTGTTTGTTATCTTTAAGACATTAAAGTGCTTTTAAGGCACACTGGTATCTGATGAGGAGGCACTGAAACTCTCAGAAGTTCAAATGACATGCTGAGTAAGCATCATACAAAGCTTAATTTTCAAGTGGCAGTACTTCACAGAAGCTGGAGTCCAAACAACAGTTTCTTAAAGAAACTATAAAATAAATATATTAATCTTACACCAGTGAAAGGAAATGAGAATTGCTGGAATACTTTAGCAAAAGCAGACCATGAAGAAGCAACCGGAAATCCAAAAACTGATTATTTAGATAAAAATTTTAGACATATAATTGGTAAGAAGTATCAGCAGAAATCAAATGGAAATTATGACAGATGCAGATCAACATGGTTTTTTATCAAATTCTTTAAGCCACTGAGCTGGAAATCTGTAGGATGACAATATAGTCAACTCAAGTGAAAGCTTTAAAAAAGTCGTTATATGGTTAGAAGTAATTTGAATTCTGATAATATTCTTCATACTTGACTGATGAATATTGCTTCACTGGCAATAACTCTAAATCAGATTGTACTCCACTTAAGCATGCACAGTGTATATTAATCATTGCTTACATCTGTATGTTTTATTTCATTTTTAGCTGCTACAAAATAAATCCATTATTTACATAGGCTCAGATTCCACACGCCTCCTTCTACAGTAAGATTAAATATGTATTTTAATGTTTGAGCTGAAGAAAGATAGAAAAAACACATGCTAAAAATACATTTGTTTAGTGCTTTAATACTTTACTCATCTCTCTGAGTGCAAAAACATTATTTTTATTAAAAACCCTAAAACATTCAAAAAAAAAAAAGGCCAAAAAAGAGGACAGATCTCAGCAGAGGATATAAAGTATGTCTTTGAATTTTCAAGTTGGGCTTCCCATGGCTGGTTCCTTTTCCTTTCATCTAAAAGATAGCAGGAATTGATCACAATTGGCCTAGCTCTACATCTTCATGCATTATACTTTCTGAGCTTTTTAGTCTCTTGCTGCGCTTTGCACAGCTTTCTTTTCTTTTAGTCACATAAGGAATTATGTTTTCCAGTACAGAAAGTGTTACAGGTTTCAGTAAGACTGTTCAGTGTGCAGGGAGAGATTGTCTTTACCTAGATTTTAAAGAATCTTTAATTAAATAATGTTTGGAAGGAAAGAAGAAGCAGTAGGAATTTTGAGAAAAAGAATTTTTCTTGAATTTCAAACTGAATCCTGCTGCACATGTACGCATAACACAAGAAATACAAATAGAAGATACAAATAGAAGAATACCAAAAATTAATTTAAAACTTTACCATTAACTTGTCTAAACTTTTTAAAGGTTATGTTGTATTTCACAGGTATTCCGTGGTACAGTTTTTAACCCTCTTTTTGTGTTTTCATACTCCTGCTTTCTAGAACACTTTATGATGAATTTTTAAATATAGATAAACTAATCTAAAATATTGCTTATCACACTGTGGCATATGCATCTACACATATACACACACACAAATCCCAACAGGAACTACAGAAGTTTTATGTTTAACCAAGGTAGAATTAGATCTGTTTAGATGTCAAAGATGTCAGACAATAGATGTCTTTGGCCACAAGGCTTTCTTTCAATTTAGTACGTGAAAGAGCAAGAAAGATTTTAGTGCTCAGAGATAATAACAACTTTACTATCATTGCTTTTGTGCATTTACAAAATTAGCTGGTAGCAGAGCTCAAGCAGAGAGAGAGTGTGTGTGTGTAAATATATATATATATATATATACACATATATACACACACACACATATATATATATGACTTAATAAAACACAAGTTAAAAAACAGCAACAGGATGAACTTGCCAAACCAAAAAAGCAAGCATATAGGTAGAGAAGTGATCTCTGTTTCAATATATCTTGGCCTTAGAGAAAATACCAGTATTTATGTTGGATACTACAAATTTCTTCTCATACAGTTCTGTATACCTCCTGTTTTACTGTGAGCATTGCCTTTACCTCTTCTAATCATGTTTGTATAATAGCACTAATCACTGATGAGTATTATTTGCTAAGTGCTGTCTAACATATTTCATGTGGACACTCTCATTTCACTGCTGAAGGAGTCTGCTGGAACCAGACTCAGTGTAAAGAAGGTAAAGAGAGATATTTTTTTTTATTACAGAAAGAATCTACTGCTGTTCCCCAGACCTCTGATACAGTCTTTTTCCTTTTCATCCCAAACTCCTCCCAGAGATGTCAAAGGCAAATGATACACTCTAGTGGGAATATGCTATGATTCTTGTCACATACTTGACATGTCTTAGTTGATCAGGATTGTAGGAGAGGATTTGGGTTTTTTGAGAGGTGGGGTGAAGGGCAGTGAGGAGTACTTTTTGAGTTTGTTGTTGTTGTTGTTGTTGTTTTAACAAAGATAGGAGTCCTGGTCTCAAATCAGAATCTTCATAACATAAAGGAACTACTAAACTGCTTCTCTTTAAGTTTTTCTGTTGTTTTTCTAGCATCCAAGTTGTATAATTTTTATGATTTTTAGTGACATCAAGAATGACTGGCAGGCTAGAGAAGAATGAGCTGGGAATGTCAAAACTAAATGAGAAGTTGATGCACTATAGCAAGAGCCCAAGAAGGTTTGCATCTTACGAACTTCCCAAAGTGAGAGGAAGGGCTTACAATCAGACTTCATAGAAAAATGTAAGCTCAGTGGCACAGAGACTTCCTACTTGCTTCACACTTAAAATAGATCAGAGTACATTGATGCCATTTGATATGAATTTGAATAAATTTACTATGTGTTTTTCAAAGTATCTTTCTCTAATTAACTTTTAAATTTTTAAAAAAGTTGTAAATTCAGTATTTACTGACATCAAATTATGAAATGCTTATGCACTTCAATAGCACAAAAGTTTTTGCACGGCATTTCCATTTAGCTGAAGTGACGTACATGAGAATTTGATGTAATAGTCAAACATTTCATTCTTGTTCATGCCTGAGCTCTTCAAAATCCTCTCCAAATTGCAAAAAAAAAGTATTCTATGTTTTTAAATCATCTAATTTTGTTACTTTGTTGGGCATATCAGAAGAATCCATTTCTCAGTAAGAAATACACCTCTCAAGTAGAAAAGTCGTATTTCAGCTTTCATTATAATAAATTGTAGTCTTCTATATAATCTACATTTTTAAAAATATTGAATTGTTACATAGCCATGAACTAGAAGAACTTTTAATTCTTCAATATGGACAATTAAAAACAGCTGGAAAGCAGAAAAACCCACCTTTTCAATTAAATGTTAATTAAATTAATTTGCTTTATCCCTTAATTAAATTTATCACTAATAAAGTTCTACAATGAAACTTGGTCTTGTATTTAAAAGGTGGTTTGAGAAGTCCTTGAAAACACCAAGAAATAAACCAGTGGAATAGACAAGCTTAATAAATTTAAGTTTTGTATGTTATAATTTGATTTAGTGTGGATTCAAGATACAGAAAAGTTCACAGAATCACAGAATATTCAAGGTTGGAAGGGACCTCTGGAGATCATCTAGTACAACCTTCCTGCTCAAGCAGGCACTCCTAGAGCATGTGGCACAGGGCAGCATCCAGGCGGGTTTTGAAGACCTCCAGAGAAGGCGACTCCACAACCTCCCTGGGCAGCCTGTTCCACTGCTCTGTCACC